CTGTGTGGATTTGTTCTCCAACACACCTGTGTAGATTGGCTCTCCAACACACCTGTGTGGATTTGTTCTCCAACACACCTGTGTAGATTTGCTCTCCAACACACCTCTGTAGATTTGTTCTCCAACACACCTGTGTGGATTTGTTCTCCAACACACCTGTGTAGATTTGTTCTCCAACACACCTGTGTGGATTTTCTCTCCAACACACCTGTGTGGATTTGTTCTCCAACACACCTCTGTAGATTTGTTCTCCAACACACCTGTGTGGATTTGTTCTCCAACACACCTGTGTAGATTTGTTCTCCAACACACCTGTGTGGATTTTCTCTCCAACACACCTGTGTGGATTTGTTCTCCAACACACCTGTGTAGATTTGTTCTCCAACACACCTGTGTGGATTTGCTCTCCAACACAGCTGTGTAGATTTGCTCTCCAACACACCTGTGTGGATTTGTTCTCCAACACACCTGTGTGGATTTGTTCTCCAACACACCTGTGTGGATTTGTTCTCCAACACACCTCTGTAGATTTGCTCTCCAACACACCTGTGTGGATTTTCTCTCCAACAGACCTGTGTAGATTTGTTCTCCAACACACCTGTGTGGATTTGTTCTCCAACACACCTCTGTAGATTTGCTCTCCAACACACCTGTGTGGATTTGCTCTCCAACACACCTGTGTGGATTTGCTCTCCAACACACCTCTGTAGATTTGCTCTCCAACACACCTGTGTGGATTTGCTCTCCAACACACCTGTATGGATTTACTCTCCAACACACCTGTGTAGATTTCCTCTCCAACACACCTGTGTGGATTTGCTCTCCAACACACCTCTGTGGATTTGCTCTCCAACACACCTGTGTGGATTTGCTCTCCAACACACCTGTGTGGATTTGCTCTCCAACACACCTGTGTGGATTTACTCTCCAACACACCTGTGTGGATTTGCTCTCCAACACACCTGTGTAGATTTGTTCTCCAACACACCTGTGTAGATTTACTCTCCAAGACACCTGTGCGGATTTGCTCTTTAACACACCTGTATAGATTTGTTCTCCAACACACCTCTGTAGATTTGTTCTCCAACACACCTGTGTGGATTTTCTCTCCAACACACCTGTGTGGATTTGTTCTCCAACACACCTCTGTAGATTTGCTCTCCAACACACCTGTGTGGATTTGCTCTCCAACACACCTGTGTGGATTTGCTCTCCAACACACCTCTGTAGATTTGCTCTCCAACACACCTGTGTGGATTTGCTCTCCAACACACCTGTATGGATTTACTCTCCAACACACCTGTGTAGATTTCCTCTCCAACACACCTGTGTGGATTTGCTCTCCAACACACCTCTGTGGATTTGCTCTCCAACACACCTGTGTGGATTTGCTCTCCAACACACCTGTGTGGATTTGCTCTCCAACACACCTGTGTGGATTTACTCTCCAACACACCTGTGTGGATTTGCTCTCCAACACACCTGTGTAGATTTGTTCTCCAACACACCTGTGTGGATTTTCTCTCCAACACACCTGTGTGGATTTGTTCTCCAACACACCTGTGTGGATTTTCTCTCCAACAGACCTGTGTGAATTTGTTCTCCAACACACCTCTGTAGATTTGCTCTCCAACACACCTGTGTGGATTTGCTCTCCAACACACCTGTGTAGATTTGCTCTCCAACACACCTGTGTGGATTTGCTCTCCAACACACCTGTGTGGATTTGCTCTCCAACACACCTCTGTAGATTTGCTCTCCAACACACCTGTGTGGATTTGCTCTCCAACACACCTGTGTGGATTTGCTCTCCAACACACCTGTGTGGATTTGCTCTCCAACACACCTGTGTGGATTTGCTCTCCAACACACCTGTGTGGATTTGTTCTCCAACACACCTGTGTGGATTTGCTCTCCAACAGACCTGTGTGGATTTGCTCTCCAACACACCTGTGTGGATTTGTTCTCCAACACACCTGTGTGGATTTGCTCTCCAACACACCTGTGTGGATTTGCTCTCCAACACACATGTGTGAATTTGTTCTCCAACACACCTGTGTGGATTTGCTCTCCAACACACCTCTGTAGATTTGTTCTCCAACACACCTCTGTAGATTTGCTCTCCAACACACCTGTGTGGATTTGTTCTCCAACACACCTGTGTAGATTGGCTCTCCAACACACCTGTGTGGATTTGTTCTCCAACACACCTGTGTAGATTTGCTCTCCAACACACCTCTGTAGATTTGTTCTCCAACACACCTGTGTGGATTTGTTCTCCAACACACCTGTGTAGATTTGTTCTCCAACACACCTGTGTGGATTTTCTCTCCAACACACCTGTGTGGATTTGTTCTCCAACACACCTCTGTAGATTTGTTCTCCAACACACCTGTGTGGATTTGTTCTCCAACACACCTGTGTAGATTTGTTCTCCAACACACCTGTGTGGATTTTCTCTCCAACACACCTGTGTGGATTTGTTCTCCAACACACCTGTGTAGATTTGTTCTCCAACACACCTGTGTGGATTTGCTCTCCAACACAGCTGTGTAGATTTGCTCTCCAACACACCTGTGTGGATTTGTTCTCCAACACACCTGTGTGGATTTGTTCTCCAACACACCTGTGTGGATTTGTTCTCCAACACACCTCTGTAGATTTGCTCTCCAACACACCTGTGTGGATTTTCTCTCCAACAGACCTGTGTAGATTTGTTCTCCAACACACCTGTGTGGATTTGTTCTCCAACACACCTCTGTAGATTTGCTCTCCAACACACCTGTGTGGATTTGCTCTCCAACACACCTGTGTGGATTTGCTCTCCAACACACCTCTGTAGATTTGCTCTCCAACACACCTGTGTGGATTTGCTCTCCAACACACCTGTATGGATTTACTCTCCAACACACCTGTGTAGATTTCCTCTCCAACACACCTGTGTGGATTTTCTCTCCAACACACCTGTGTGGATTTGTTCTCCAACACACCTGTGTAGATTTGTTCTCCAACACACCTGTGTGGATTTGCTCTCCAACACAGCTGTGTAGATTTGCTCTCCAACACACCTGTGTGGATTTGTTCTCCAACACACCTGTGTGGATTTGTTCTCCAACACACCTGTGTGGATTTGTTCTCCAACACACCTCTGTAGATTTGCTCTCCAACACACCTGTGTGGATTTTCTCTCCAACAGACCTGTGTAGATTTGTTCTCCAACACACCTGTGTGGATTTGTTCTCCAACACACCTCTGTAGATTTGCTCTCCAACACACCTGTGTGGATTTGCTCTCCAACACACCTGTGTGGATTTGCTCTCCAACACACCTCTGTAGATTTGCTCTCCAACACACCTGTGTGGATTTGCTCTCCAACACACCTGTATGGATTTACTCTCCAACACACCTGTGTAGATTTCCTCTCCAACACACCTGTGTGGATTTGCTCTCCAACACACCTCTGTGGATTTGCTCTCCAACACACCTGTGTGGATTTGCTCTCCAACACACCTGTGTGGATTTGCTCTCCAACACACCTGTGTGGATTTACTCTCCAACACACCTGTGTGGATTTGCTCTCCAACACACCTGTGTAGATTTGTTCTCCAACACACCTGTGTAGATTTACTCTCCAAGACACCTGTGCGGATTTGCTCTTTAACACACCTGTATAGATTTGTTCTCCAACACACCTCTGTAGATTTGTTCTCCAACACACCTGTGTGGATTTTCTCTCCAACACACCTGTGTGGATTTGTTCTCCAACACACCTCTGTAGATTTGCTCTCTAACACACCTGTGTGGATTTGCTCTCCAACACACCTGTGTAGATTTGCTCTCCAACACACCTGTGTGGATTTGCTCTCCAACACGCCTCTGTAGATTTGCTCTCCAACACACCTGTGTGGATTTGTTCTCCAACACACCTGTGTGGATCTTCTCTCCAACACACCTGTGTGGATTTGTTCTCCAACACACCTGTGTGGATTTGTTCTCCAACACACCTGTGTAGATTTACTCTCCAACACACCTGTGCGGATTTGCTCTTCAACACACCTCTGTAGATTTATTCTCCAACACACCTGTGTGGATTTGTTCTCCAACACACCTGTGTAGATTTGTTCTCCAACACACCTGTGTAGATTTGCTCTCCAGCTCGCCTCTGTAGATTTGCTCTCCAACACACCTGTGTGGATTTGTTCTCCAACACACCTGTGTGGATTTTCTCTCCAACACACATGTGTGGATTTGTTCTCCAACACACCTGTGTAGATTTACTCTCCAACACACCTGTGCGGATTTGCTCTTCAACACACCTCTGTAGATATGTTCTCCAACACACCTGTGTGGATTTGCTCTCCAACACACCTGTGTGGATTTGCTCTCCAACACACCTGTGTGGATTTTCTCTCCAACACACCTGTGTGGTTTTGTTCTCCAACACGTAAGTGTTGTTACTCGTAACGATTTGGCACGCTCTGTTTACCGTGACAAACCTTACTAAATTGGCTGTGTCGGGTGGTGGCGGGTTTACGACATATATATTTACGCAAACTAAAAAAACTATTGTGGATGATGTTGGTCGCGAAAGCCTACTGCGTGTTAAACTGGCATGAAACAACTGGCTTTGTATCCATTGGTGATCATCAGCGCGGCCGCATCCCCCGCCCCCTGCCCTCTTCCCCCCATCCATCCAATCAAAACCACGCACGCTCCAGGCCCCACCCCCCCTAGTGGGCCGCGAACCAATTGCAAGAGCGTTCGGCCGCGGTGACCAATCAGCGCAACCCGCGAGGCGACTGTTTGCCCGTTACGCCGTCGCGCGGCCCTATTGGAGGAGGGGCAACGCGGCGGCCGCTCGCCGCCATCTTACCACGGGGGTTGACTGCCTGCTCCGGTGACGTCACAAGCGACGGCGGGGGTGGGGGGGCAATGGCGAGGCGGAGTCTGAACTCCTCCGCTCCTCCCACGCCGCGTCCTCCAAGCCGACCAATCGGTGCGCGCTGGAGTACCAAGATGGCCACCAAAGACACCGTCAGCAGCACGACGAGGGGCAGCAGCAGCAGCAGCAGCGCCCTCCCCCCCGTGTGACGACGCCTCAGGGAACGTCGTCTCGCACTCGCCTCCCCACCCACACCACCCACTCCACACCACCCACCCACCTCCCCCGGGTGCGTTGCGGGCCGATGTCGTCAGCACAACCGAACGCAGACGGTGCGCGCTGCCCAGGAAGCGGTCCGATGATGATGGTGGTGGTGATGTCGTCGTCTTCGTCGTCTTCGTGACTGAGCGCGGCCGTGCAACTGCCGAGGAGCGGCAAAGAGCGGCGGAGGCTTGACCGCCACGGCGGAGAGGGATTCGCAGCGGCGTCGGCGGCGGCGACTCGCGGCGTCAGAGCGCAAAGGAGTTGGGGCGGCGGGGAGGAGGGGGAGGACGAGGCGAGGGTTCTGACGGTGGCTCCTGGAGTCGGGATGGCGAGCGGAGGCCCCGTTTCGCGCGGCCCCGACTCGGTCCGGCCACTGCTGCTTTCGTTGCCGTTGATATCCGCGGGGACAGTTCGACTCCTAACACAAGCACAACATCGATTACAACAGCACTGAGTTGTTGAGTGGGTTTAGGTGGTGGGGGGGAGGTGGTTGTGTGACCATCGGCTGGGGCGCAACGTTGTTGTTTCTCGCGTGGGAAAGTGACGGCTGGTAGCCCACCGTGAGCGCCGCTCTTGACGTTCGCCGGTCGCCTCCGACGATCACCTCCGACGATCAGTGACCATTGTTCGGGTCGGATCCCGGGTGCGCTTATTTATTGCCACCGTTTCCCCGTTGCGGTGTCGCAGAAGCGGCGCGAGTTGGGGGAGAGACGCTGATTGTTGTCGCGGGAGGAGCGGCGGCGGCGGGGGGTAGAGGTCGCAGGTCTGCGTTGGAAGGCGACACTCGGGTCAAGTTTATTTTCAGTGAGTCGGTGAAGGTGAAGAAGGAAGAGCGAGCGAGCACCTGGTGGTATCACCACCACCACCGCCGTCGCCGAGATGGAGTTTCCCGGGTCACCGGCCGAGGCCAGTAACCTGTACGCGCCGGACAGCGGCGTGCTGGAGACGGTCAATGGGGAGGCGGACTCGACACTCGCATCGAAGGTAATGGGGGTGGTGGTGGTGGTGATGAGGTTCCTTGCTCGGGAGCGAGTCGGTCCCCCGCCTGGCCTTGTCCGTCCTGCACAGCTGTCACCACTGCGCGGAGCTTTCACGGTGGAAGCGTTGAATCGCAGGCCTACGGGGACGTGACGACGTGTTTGCCTGTGGGTGGCCTCAAGGTGCACATGGCCTGGTACAGGCGTCGTGGTGACGTCACCACCACTTAGTGGCGAATGGCTGTTGGTTGTTGTTGTTGTCCATATCAAACAGTGGTTTATGTTGCGAAGTTTTGCGCTTTTCAGGCGATGTTATCGTAGACCTGAAACGTCTCACCAAGCGGGGATAATGCGCCACCGCTGCGAGATGTTAACAACCTCGCCTGGTATACAGGAGGAGGTCGTGGGTTCAATCCCGACCCACACTCCTGTGTTGTAGTATTTGTAGCGTGGATTGTCTCTTTGGGTCTTCCGGTATTTTTCTCCCCCGACCCCCTTCCCCTCCACATGTAGAGACACGCGTTTAGAGTGCCGTGTGTGGCTGCTAGACATGTCCACGTTGAGCTCTTAATTTGTGGCCAGGTCGCTTATAATGGCCCTATGTGTACCAGCAGCAGCCGGCCAAACATTCCGTTATTCGTGAGCGCCGTATGGGCATCTTTTGTATACAGTTATGTAAGTCGAGGTGTCGGCGACCTGTCGAATTTGGGCCGACACGTCGGGATATTCAGTTTCACGTGGCCTTGATGTACACCCGAGCCGACAACAGCACAAGATGTGTGACTTGGCGGTGACGTTGTTGCAACAACTTGGCGGTGACGTTGCAACAACTTGGTGGCTAAAAAAAAAGGGCTGGCTGTTGTTGTTTTGGGTTGTAATAAAGTTACAAAGTAAACTAATAAACAACGTGGCGCCGCGTTGAATGAACATTCTTTCACGGCGTGTTGCTAACGTTCACTGCTATGCCATAGCTGCGTAACCTGTTCAAATGAACAGCTGATTTATGTTTAGTTTTGTTCCCCCCCCACCGCATCTACGATTAGCACGGTTGGCTACGTACGGTGCGAATGAAGTTCAACATACATACGTACATTTAAGTCAAGTGACAACTCATACACAGCAGGCAGGGGCCTGGCCAACAGCCGGTACATTTTCCGTGTGTGTGTGTGGCAGAGTGACAAAAGTTGACTTCCCCATGAACTTTCCACGCTATACCCTTAACGATTGTTATCTTGTTCTTCTTTTGTATGGCGTTTCAAAAATAATGGTCGACACGCAACACATTCCAGGGCACGATGGTCGATAATGGTTTGGGTGATATTCGTATGTATGGGGAATCGAACCCACACAGCCACTAACCCCGCCAGCCACTAATCGCGATCAATTATAAACACGTTTCTCGTTCAATAACATTGTTCCGAAACGAATACGTAAACGTGAGCACAAGCATGGAAAATCAACCGCTTTTATTTGTATGTAATGTACATATATTATTTGTGACCTTTTAGGGCCACTGTGTTATTGACGATCGTGTGTTGAGGTTTGTTGTTGGTTGTCCCTCGTGCACCACTGACAACGCAGCAGCAGCGGCAATCGCCACATCATTTGGTGTAATTAAATGCCGATCATCGTATCCCATCAGCAACAGCAGTATCGTCATTACGTCGAGTTATTCTCTCGAGCACTTGTTCTGTTTCCCTTGTTTCTATGTTTTTTTTTATAAACAACTTTTATTGTAATCATCGGTGGTTGTCGTCGTCCCCCCCCCCCCCCCCCCCGTTTAGTATGGGGTTCAGAAGTCCCAAAATCTAATTTAAACAGAAAAGCTCAACATGTTAACACTGCGGCCTTCAAAGGAAACATGTATAATCGGCGACGTTTTGGCCAGTGGGCCCTAATTCATAGCACGTTAAATGGAAATGTAAAAACTAAAAAAAAAGATTGCTTAGGGTCTCTAGAGCTCCCTCCATTAGAGACCCTTCGTCAGCGGTGGTTCGAACAACCAATTGCAGGGCTGCACCTTCGCCTTTTACCAGATATTTTATAGGTACCACCTATGGTGGTGAACTTTATATATATTTTAATGTTCAAAAATAACACTTGCCTAGCCACTTTTGAAAAGGGCACATATATAGTGTATAGTTCACTTATAATGGCCATATTTGTACCCCTAAGTGTTTCCACACGCTGTGCTATTTGGGCTCTGATCTGAGTTTGATTCCCTGCCAATGTAACACGTACTCTCTGAACTGGTCATGGGCCTCTTCCTTCACTAACAAGTCCTGTCCAGAGTGGCGAGGTATGGTCAAACAACTCTCGTGTTCACCAGTGGATTGACAAAAGGGTGTGAATTATTATGGTTGTTTGTGCCCATGTGCCTTGTGTGTTACCCGTTTGTATGTGTGTGCCCATGTGTTCGTGTGCCATCATGCGCATGTTTGCACCTTAACGTGCATGTGCATATGTGTGTTTTCGATGTGGCCGTATTTTTCTTTACCAGCTTGCTGAGCATAGGCCCAAAATATCCGGTGGCCAGCAACAAACAGCACCGTCACAGATAAGGGTTGACGTGTTTCATAGATTGAGCCATTTTTAAAAAAGAGCTTGAGAGACGAGACGGCGATCGGAGAGAATTCCAAAGTGTGGTGGATGAGACGAAACAATCTGGGAGAGACCGAGTCCTCAAAGTGGGTGGAGGAATCATTGAGGGACGTTCGTGGGAGTAGTAACCACGGATGTCGTGGACGTACAAGAATGGAAAGCAGGTCGCCTGATCGCCGGAAGTGTTGTGACCTGCAAGTGTGGTGGTTGAACACGGTGGCAAAGATAAAACCTTCAGTCTGGTAGACTTAAGTTCTCGACAAGGGTGGAGGAATCTGTCAAATGTGATCACCCAGATCTCACCTGGTTAAACAAAATAAAACTTGAAACATGTGAAGTTCACAGGAACTGTAACCATGATAGAAGCGATAGAAGAGTGATAAGGAGGCGACTGTTTACTGTTGAGCAAGTGGCTGGAATAAACTAGCGAGTTGTAGATAATCATTCACCCCGACTGCTTTACGTTGAGTTCTGACAAGTGTGTATGTGTGTGTTTATCGGCCTACCCATGTCTGCCTCTCACACGTGTCTGTGTGTGTGTCCACGTCCAGTAGTGTAGCGGTTAGCATGCTGTGCTACAAACCCGTTTATCCAGGTTCGATTCCTGCTCACGGTCAACACCAGTGATGATTATCTGAACCGGTCATGAGCCTCCCCAAGGTCGACTCGACCTAAAATGAGTACGAGGTGTGGTGTGTAAACATCGCCACTATGGAGACAAAGGCAACTGGACATGGTGCTGGCCACTCACCCCATTCGTTTGCCGTGTCGCCCTTCAATAGGTGCTTGCGAACAGAACTTTCCCCAGTAGTCTGGTAATAGGCTGTACGGGGGGTCTTTGTGTACCGGTGTACCCATGTCTACCTCTCACACGTGTCTGTGTGTGTGTCCACGTGCACGTGCATTAGCTGGCGCTGGTGAGCCCCGATGCAGAGCAGTACGAGCGCCTACTGCAGCAGCTGCGAGAGCGTCTCTCCGAGGGCCAGGGCGAGACCATCTACGTCATCGGGCAGGGCAGTGGTGAGTCCGGTACTCGCAAGTCGGGGCTGATAACACGGTCCTGCGGTAGCACGTTCACTGATGGTTGCCAGAAGGTTCGTTTCGTGCTAAGTTAGCCGTATAATTGCAAAGATAATAATCGTCAATTATTAAGACCTGCGGACACACGCGGATGATTTTTTTTCCCCAACAGACTCATAGAGAGAGATTGTTGTTGGATCAAGCAGCCCTCGCTAGAATTGTGCACCAGGGCGTGACAATTTTGGGACGGGCGTTAAAGGATGACGTCAGTTGGCAGGCAGTAAATTAATGGCTGAGGTAGGGAAATGAGAGGTGACCTGGTGGCTCTGCAGGTGGATAGCGTGTGGGAGATGTTGGGCTGGCACAACGGAGGTCGTAAGTTCGAATTCAGATTTTATCCGCTTGGGTTTAAACTGTTTCTGAAGTGTAGTGAGTTGCTCGTCACAGACTGGTCACACCGTCAATCGAACCTCTCTACGTTGACCGGACACAGGGTGAGGTGGCGGTGGTCACCATGTCCTTGCCTAAGGTCTGTAGGCCGAGGCCTGATAATTGCTTTATGCCAGTGGTCTAATTTTTCAGAGGGGGGCCACCTTTGCCGATAAGATATCAGTGTGAGGGCTGCCACACATTTGAAGCCGTTGGATTTCACAGCACGATGGTGGTGTTTTCACAATTTGTGTTTGGTGGGGTGGGGGGGGGGGGTGCATGTCAGGGGCCGCACTAAAGGCCACCAGGGGCTGCCAGTGGCCCGCAGACCTTGCAATGAAAGAACACCGCTTTATGTATTCACCGCGTACGTGTCAATGCAACACACTCACGCGTGCGCTGCTGCATCACGCCCCCTCGCCCTCACCGGCAGATGGCGGAGAGTATGGGCTGGGCGAGGACGACATGGTGGCGTCAGCGGCGACGCTGGAGGGCATGGCGGGGCAGTGCGATGCCGAGACCGTGCTGCTGCGTGAGCGCTCTGAGCCGGGCGGGCGAGCGCGCGAGTACCTCGTGCGGCGTAACGTGGCTGACAACGACTTCCTGGAGGTCAGGTGGGTCAAGCGAACGATGGGTTGCGCCATCATGCAGACCCCCCTCCTCCCACTGCTGACCACGGAGCTTCACAGCCTCTGCACAACTAAACTATTAAAACAATGTTTTATTTTACTAGGTAAGGCCCACTCAGCCATGTAGTTTTTTTTCAGAAGCGACCTGGTTAGCTCAACGAAGTGGCTTATCACGTGGAAGTGTATGGCAGCCAAATTACTATGTGGAGGGAAAAACCAGAGAACCCGGAGAAAAATCCACGCGACCACGGGGAGAAAGAATATGCAAACTCTAAATATACAGACATTAGGTTTGGGATCGCGCCCACGACCTCCTGTATAACAGGCGAGGTAGTTAAAATCTTGCCACCATGGTGAAACTGCAGGAATGACCCCCATCGGTGCAGAACTGCAATGGATGACACTTGCCTCTCCACAACTGCGCTGCTCCTCGAACTACAAAACGGTGGTGCCGCCCTCTTCTAACCACACAACCACAGGGATGCCCCCTTTTGTGTCCAGCGATCGCAGTGCCGCCCCCCCCCCCCACCACTAGCCACAAGTGCAAGGTTGCCCTCCGTCTCCACGCTGCCCTCCAGCATGCTCCAGCCCGGGCTGAAATCCTCGACCGTGTGCTCGATTGTTTCGAAACGCTATGCTGTGCGAGACTGTTTTCTGAATTCACGGAGATGTGTGTTAGCGGAGAGATTAGATGAGACACTGCGATATCACTTAGTTGAAAGAGAAAGCACCAACCTCCCTCCCTCTTCCACCCAAATCCCCCCCCACCACAACCGCTAGTCCCCAGACCCCCACGTGACCACTGTCTTTGCCTCCTCGTGCTCCTCTGTGGCCCTAACCACTCCACTGACCCCCCCCCCACGTGTCATTTCTCTCCCCTCCACCATGACCATCCTCTGTAATTACCACCCCTTTCCTTCCATGACGAACCCATCCCCCCCCATTCACCCTCCCCACCTTCCCCATCATACCATTCCCTCAACGTGACATCCCCTCTTCCCTTCCGTGACCATTCCTCCAATCGCCGCTGCCCACCTCCGTGACCGCTCCTCTCTCTTCCCTTCCCCCGCGACCCCACTTTGACCCCCCTCACCCCCCACCCCCCACCTCCCCCACTTTCCTGCCGCCCAATGGTCAGGGTGGCGGTGGTGGGCAACGTGGACGCGGGGAAGTCGACGCTGCTGGGCGTGCTGACCCACGGTGAGCTGGACAACGGCCGTGGTTTCGCGCGCCAGAAGCTCTTCCGGCACAAGCACGAGATGGAATCAGGGAGGACGAGCAGCGTTGGCAACGACATCCTGGGTTTCGACAGCGCTGGCAACGTGGTGAACAAGCCCGACGCGCATGCCAGCGGCCTCGACTGGACACGCATCTGCGAGAAGTCGTCCAAGGTCATCACCTTCATCGACCTGGCGGGGCACGAAAAGTACCTGAAGACCACGGTGTTTGGCATGACGGGTCACCTGCCCGACTTTTGCATGCTCATGGTGAGATGCACACACGTACACGTGCGCCGCGTGTATGCACGCGGCGCACGTGTGTGTTGGGGGGGAACGGTGGCGAAGTGGTTGGCGCGTCACGGTTCGATTCCCGTTTTCACGGCCAACACCAGTGACGGTTATATGAACCGTTCTCGGGCCTCGCCTAGGTCCACTCGCCCTCATGAGTACCTGGTGTGGCGTGTAAACATCGCCACTGGCGAGACAAAGTTGATCAGGCGTGGTACTGGCCACTCACCCCTCGTGTGTCGTTCTGGCCTTCATAGGTGTTCGCTAACAGCACTTGCCCCAACAGTTTGTCAAAGGCGATATGGGGGACTTTTTTCTTTGGGCACAAGGATGGAGGGGGTATCCGTTGTGCTTGGAGTGATGCGATGGAGGGAGCAAGCAGTGACTTGCTCTGTGGTCCGTTGGTTGAGATACAGACTCGTGTGCAGATTTATCGAATTGCATAGACATCCATAGACTCGCACGGAGATTCGTATAGACTTATACGATGGAAGGCCGGAAGTCGTGTTGCTGTGCGGTCCAAGGGTTGGAGGTTGTTCACACCGTGTGCTCGTATAGATCTCTGACATTGTCTTTCCTCCTCCCCTGCCCGCGCATGAACCAGGTGGGCAGTAACGCGGGCATTGTGGGCATGACCAAGGAGCACCTGGGCCTCGCGCTCGCCCTCAACGTCCCCGTGTTCGTGGTCGTCACCAAGATCGACATGTGCCCGCCCAACGTGCTGCAAGGTGCCACTCGTGACCTCGTGACCACGCATCCGGGTTGGGGCAGAGTGTCAAAAACAAAAACTCCAGTCATTCCCTTCCTTGGTTGCCCAAGCTTCTCCATTGGAATGCAGATAACATTACGCCACCGTGGGAACCACGGTGGTGAGATGTTAACTACCTCGCCTGGTATACAGGAGGTCTTGAGTTCGATCCGGACTCTGACGCCTGCTGTATATTTGGAGTTTGCATGTTCTCCCTGTGGTCGTGTGGATTTTTTTCCGGGTCCTCTGGTTTTTCCCTTCACATTTAGATTCAACATGCAGTATTTGGCTGCTATAAATTTCCACGTGATAAGCCACTTCATTGAGCTATCATTTGTGGCCTGGTCGCTTCTGAAAAAGAGCTATGTAGCTCAATGGGCCTTACCTGGTAAGATAAAATGAGTTTTTCGTTTTATATCTGTGCGTTACATGCCGAATGCGCTTCATGATTGTTAAACGTGTCGCGCATGTTCAATGGTACGGTCAGACCAACCCCTGTAACTGATGCAGTGTGGAGATGCCTTCAACCAGCAGTGGATTGACAAAGGGTCCGTAATTTGTGCATAAGTATCCTCTGCTATAACTTTGACGCATTATGCATAGTGTTGTGTGTATATATGCGTTGCTGACGAATTGGGGAACATTTCCTCGTAAGTTAAACATTTCGCATTCTTAAAAAAACGCAAAATTGCTTGCACAATTTCTAAACTGGGAATGCACGTAGTGATAACAGACTATTGAAGGTATTTACAGCCTCATTTGTAAGAGTGGGTTACCAAAATGAAGTTCAGTGCAACAGTGAAGCAAGCTTAAATATCGAGACGGTTCCTTCCTCCCAAGAAGAACGTTTCCTAATCTTCATGTAGCTGCCGCATCACGTCCAATCACAACCTGACCTCTCTTCTTGGTTCTTTCTGTAAAGTCACGTCACCTGAGGACGGCTGCTTGTGTTGTGGCCAAAACGTCGTGAGAATTTTATTTTAATTTTTAAATGTTATTATTTCCCTTCTACGTGCCTTTACTGAAAGAACCAAGAATATGAATCCCTGCAGTCACGAAAGCTTTAAATAGAAATCTTAGAACTACTACTGAAATTCCTTTGAGTGACCTCATTTTATACACACGACGTTTCGGCCACAACACAAGTAGCCTTCCTCAGGTGAAGAAACAGAGCTGTCGGAAAATCAGTGCTCCAATGAACACTGCTAAGCTTGGCAGCGTATTTTAAGCTGGGTGGGAGGAGCAGAGCGCCTTGACAAAGGAGTTTACATATCAACAGAAGAATTTAGCATTGAAGTAGCTATGTTAATGTGCGAGATTAGCAGGATGTTAAAGTCAGAAATTAGCATGTAACTGGGAGATTAGCATGATGTTAATGTGAGGAATTAGCATGTAACTGGTCACGGAAGTAGCTATGTTAAAGTCAGAGTTTACATATCAACAGAGGCATTTAGTGTATTGACGCTAAAGAACTGCAACTACCCAACTGTCATACAATAAACCGATGTGAAAGAAGTAAATATAAACTACTTCAATATATTCAATGTACTCAATATATTCTCCACTAAGCTGAGCTACTAACATTAAGTCATTATACATTACACTTCTATGTCGCAAAAATTATTATAATATGCCTCCAACTAATCTTTTTATTATAAACTGCCATAGACAGACCCCAACATTGAATTATACACTGCGTTACTATACACTACCCTATACGAAAAGCTTTAAATCGAAATTTTACCTGACCTCTGTCTCCTCTTCCTCCCCCCTCTTCCACCGCTGCACCTCATCCAATTCCCATCACCACTGTCATTCATCATCGCCATCATCATCATCGTCGTCGTCACCATCATCATCACCAGACACGCTGAAGCTGCTGCAGAGGCTGCTGAAGTCGCCCGGTTGCCGCAAGATCCCGGTGCTGGTGCAGACGCGGGACGACGTGGTGGTGACTGCGACCAACTTCACGTCGGAGCGCATCTGCCCCATCTTCCAGATCTCCAACGTGAGCGGCGAGAACCTGGACCTGCTCAAGATGTTCCTCAACCTCCTGTCGGCGCGGATGGGCTTCAGCGAGGCCGAGCCCGCTGAGTTCCAGATCGACGACACCTACTCCGTGCCGGTAACGCGACCATAGCACGGATTTTAAACGTCCGTTGCACCAGAGAAAGCGACGCCGTTGCCCTATTCCCGCTGTGACATCATTTTTTTTTGGGGGGGGGGCAGGAAAAGTACGGAAGCGATGTCATGCTTTCGTATCACTCTCGTTTACTTTTAAAACTGAATATTTTTTAATTTGACCAAGTAAGGCTCACTGAGCAATGTGACAATTTTTTCAGAAGCGATCTGGCTACATGCGATGATAGCGCACGGAGTGTACCTTTCGGTGGCACAAGTCACGTGGTGCAGTCACTTACGATGCAGAGAATGGCAGTTGCATACTACTATACTGTATATCTAATTTTCAAGCTTGTGAAATGAACTCTAAAAAAAGCTATTTTTAATTTACCAGGTAAGGCCTGAGCTGTGTAGCTCCTTCTCAGAAGCGAACTTTGCCACTCGCGATGTGATAGGTCAACGAAGCAGCTTATCGTAATTACGTGGAAATGTATAGCGGCCAAATTACTGTAAACGCGTGACGTTGGTTCTAAATGTGGAGGGGAAAAACCGGAGGACCTGGAGAAAAATCCAAGCGAATATGGGGAGAGAGAGAGACATGCAAACTCCAAATATACATGCATACTAGGCGAGGTAGTTAACATCTGCTTAGTACGCAACACGTAGTCACTTTTCGCAGCCAATGTCATGAATAAAATTAGAATTAGTAAAATTGCAATGGTTAATTTGGGGGCGGTGATGTGGTCCAGGGGGAGCCCGTTTTACCGATTGTCGCAGAGTTTGGCGGTTTGAAGCCGGGAGTCTGCCCTGGTTAACACTGCAGGCGTATTAACCGTAAAATACTCGGCATTACTGCTTTTTGTGTTTCGTTTGCTTTCCTTCCCCCCGCACCTCCGATTAGCATGGTTAGCTACGTACGGTGGTGTGAAAGAAATTCAATATACATACGTTAAAACGCTTTCACGTGTTTAAACGTTTGTACACGTGGCAATTTAATTTGTTTCTCTGTCAGGTGGTAGAGGGTTACACGACAAACATGATCTGGCCTAGCCCAACCAATCATGATGAATATTTAAAATAAAGTTAATTTGGTATTTGTGCCTTATTCAGAGCGCCATGTTTTACAGGCGAATGTCGTCTGCGAGAAGGGCTAACGATTCCTAACATCGGTGGCGAGTGGATATCTTGAACCGATCCAGGGCCTCCGTGCTGACAACAGCAGTGACAGTGACTCCGGCAAACCATCGTCCAACGACGGCCGGGTGTGGATTCTGGCCGCGCCTCGTGCGCCGTGCCGGCCTTAATTGGCGTTCGCAAGCAACAATTGCTCCAGCAGCCTTTGTAGGCTACGCGGGGGATCTTTGTCTTCGTGTGCGTGGAGTGGAAGCTGGGCGGCTCTCCTAATGGGTCACTAACGTGGCCACCTGAGTTAGATTCCCGGCCACGGAGGAAACGTATCTGTCGCGAGCGTTATCTGAAAGCTGTCCTAATACGTATGCGCAGAAAGGATCACTCCTTTGTGTCCTGATTTCACCGCCGCTGCGCTTCCAGGGCGTGGGCACGGTGGTGTCAGGCACGGTGCTCCGAGGCCTCATCCGTCTCAACGACACGCTGCTGCTGGGCCCCGACCCGCTGGGCGCCTTCACGGCCATCGCCGTCAAGAGCATCCACCGCAAGCGCATGCCGGTGCGCGAGGTGCGCGGCGGGCAGACCGCCTCCTTCGCCCTCAAGAAGGTAACGTAGCGGCCACAAGGCTCGTGTCGGATGGGTTGGTGGGGAGGGGGTGCAGGTGCGTGGACGGGGGGTGGAGGAGGGGTGGAGGGGGGGGGTGGAGGGGGGGGTGCGCGACCAAACCGCGAGATTTAACCGACAAGAGTGGAAATATTCAGCAGACAAAGGGCAAGGTCACCGGGGTGGATGGGTGGCTCCGGGGTCTGGTTCACGATGGCCGTGTGTTGTAGCCACTGAGCCCGGGAGAGACTGTTTCAGCCCTCTGCGAGCAACCCGCTGTGGGTCCTGGTTTTTCAATTCAGAATGAAGAGCTCCGGTGAGCGAACTGCTGCGCCACCGCTCCCGCCATCGTTAACGCGCCGCTCCCTGACGTCGCTTGCGGTCTGCGTTTCGTTGCCCACGCAGATCAAGCGCGCGTGGATCCGCAAGGGCATGGTGATGGTGTCACCACGCGTCAACCCTCAGGCTTACTGGGAGTTCGAGGCTGAGATCCTGGTCCTCCACCATCCGACGACCATCAGCCCACGCTACCAGGCCATGGGTGGGTGCGTCGTTTGTTACGACGGTCGCAGGGACTCGGCAACCATCGCCCTAGAGCAGGCGAGGGGAACCTACGGCCGCTGGGGTGGACACGCCCTATGGGGTGGATACGGCCTGCAGGTTGGACACAGCCTACGGGCTGGATACGGCCCCGCAAGTGACGTTTATTATTCCGTCACGGTCTTTGCTGCAATTCACGATGCCGCTCTCGTCACCGTTTGCGTTCCCTCATTGCCGCCGCTACGCCCTGACGCCCCCCCCCCCTCCACCCCCCACACCCCCTTTTAAGTTTAACACGTAAGCTTTCGCCACCAATATCATCCAGAATAGAGGTTTTTGGGTTAGATCGCGTAAATATATGAATGTGTCGTTAAAACCCGCCATCACCCGACACGGCCAACGAGTAAGGGTTGTCACGTAAACAGAACGTGGCCAATTCGTCACTAGCACAGCACTAAGCGGTGTGTTGGAGAGCCAAGCCACAATATTTACAATCTGAGTACGACGTTTCGCCAGTAATTACAACTAGCTTCATCAGGCGACAGACAGATCTGTGGAGAAGTCTTACCATTTAATTCCTTATATAGAGGCGTAGATGTGTTGTCCACCCTTCTACGCTCTTGCATAATGTGGTGGGGGGGGGATTACTGAGGCAACGTACATTATGCATGTGCATTATGCGAGCCCTTTGAACTTGTCCTTCCTGTCTATTGTGTTTATTAAAATAGCCCTACCAACGGTAATCCCTATTGAAGTACGTTGCCCTTTGTAGGCATGCATTAAATAATGTAGCATTTGATGATTCGCTTCCACGCAACACTAAGACGGTAGCTATCCGAACGATTAAAGTTATTTTGATTTCTTTCAATTTCGATAGATTCTCTAATTAGTCTTGGCCAGTAGTAGCTAGTTTTGCACGGAACTTCAACATTATTAAAATCAATTGAGTGTCCTTGTTGGCACGTGTGTTCTGCAACTGCTGATAGTTGCATTTGGGAGAATTCAATATTTCTCTGATGTTCTTTTAGTTTCGTGCTGATCATTCGTCCTGTTTGTCCAACATAACATTTACCACACGTCTAGTTAATCCTGTACACACCTTCTGTTGATAGCTTTGGTAATACACCTTTTGTACCAGATATTAAATTCTGTATTTTATGTACCGTACCAAATCTGACTCTGATGTTTTGTTTTTCCTCTCCGCCATGGTCCTCTGCCCCCTTTCCCTGTGCCCCCCCCCCCCCACCTGCCGCATGCAGTGCACTGTGGGAGCATCCGGCAGACGGCCACGATCCTGGGCATGAGCCGCGACTGCTTGCGCACGGGCGACAAGGCCAACGTGCATTTCCGCTTCATTAAGAGCCCCGAGTTCTTGCACCCGGACACCCGCCTCGTGTTCCGGGAGGGCCGCACGAAAGCCGTGGGCACCATCACTAAAGTACGCGCGCACGTGTGTGTGTAGTGTAGTGGTGAGCGCTATTGCGCTACGAATCCGGCGGCCCGAGTTCGATTCTCGCTCACGGCCAACACCGGTGATGATTATCTGAACCGGTGCTGGGCCTCCCCTAGGTCGACTCGGCCTCAAATTAGTACCTGGTGCGGTGTGTAAACATGGCCACAAGGGAGACGGGCGTGGCACTGGCCACTCACCCACTCATGTGCCGTGGTGGCCTTCGTAGGTACTCGCTAATAGCACTTGCCCCAACAATATTTTAAGGGTGGTATTTACGTACGCATCGTGCGCATCGTCCTGGGAGATTGAATTATATTGTAAACATATATTGCCTGAAGCCTTGCTTAATACGTGCTGTTCACGTAACGCTGTTTCGCTGTAATGCAGTTCTTCCATTTGGGAACACTTTTCGCACAACGTGGAGTGTGCCCCGTTATAACGCGCAACGGCGTACCACGTTACAGCACGGTTTCTGAGCGGTAGACTACAAACTACTTTCTTGAGCTGCGTGGCTGAGTGGTACAGTCATACAGTACGCGGAATGATACAGTAACGCGGCGGCGTACCCACAGTTATTCGTCCCGCCATCTCGCTGTGTATGCATAGCATATCGTATCTCCAAAAACTTTATCGTTATATTATTTACGGGGAAATAGTTTGGCGCTTTGCGCGCTTTTCGCTTGACGCGGCACTTTGAAGGAACCCATCTACCGCGTTGGGACATGCTGTAAATGTGCTCGATGGTAGTGAAAGCATTCCGATGACGACATTGACGATGGTTGCCGCAGGCTCTTTAAGGACTGCAGTGCGGCTTCCGAAACTCGAAAAAAAATAGCTCTTGTTGTTTTGGTTGCCAACCCTTGACTATGGAAGTCCAGTTTACCATGGGAGTACAGTTCACCATGGAAGTCCAGTTCACCATGAAATTCCAGTTTACCATGGAAGTCCAATTTACTTTGGGCAGGGGTCAGCAAGCTGCGGCTCTGGTGCCGCACGCTTCTCACGAAGGACTGTATTGTGACCACCGCCTCGTATTCGCATGCATTGGAGGCTCTTTAAATATTGATGGTGGTTTTTTTTTTGTTTTACCGAATTCGAAGAACAATAAAAATTGCCGCTCTTGTTGTGTTTGCGTTGCCAAACCCGTGCGCCAGCTCATCTCCAGCGTCAACACGGCGCCCACCAACATGAAGACGCAGCAGGTGAAGATGCAGCCCAGCAAGAAGGGAGGCTTCGGCACCAACGCGATGGCGGGGCAGCACGGAGCCGCGTCGGGCACGCCGGGGGCGGCCGCTGGTGATGCCGGCGCCGAGGCTGGAGCCTCCTCGTCGTTGGAGGACGCGACAGTGCAGGTGGCGGCACAGGGAACACAGGTGCGCCACGGGGAAACCGGCGCCGGCGCGCGGGGTTTGACCCCGGACCGTGGTGCATATGTGGCGGTCGGTCCGTCTGTCCCTCTTGTTAGTCTGTTGTCGTTCTCAAAAGGATTCGGCCGGGAATGCGTTGGCGCTGTGCCAGTGCTATGTCGCGAGTGAATAAGTAGACTGATTCATAATTTATTTTTTGGGGAGGGGTTAGGCCACGTGATGAACGATCTGGCCACGTATTTGTCGTGGAACCCTGCAGCATCTCACGTAGCCGAGCAATTTAAACTGTTTTAACGTGAGCGTTTAATGCGCCGATTATTTTCAGAATTATCTGTTCAATCAAATCCATCGCCTGATAAGTTGAAGAACGATTCTTACAGCCACAGTTTAGCGATTAGAAAATAAATGGTTTATTTGGAACTCGGCAGCTAGCAGTACACAACCCTGTGTCGGAAAATGGGTCTTTAAGAGAACGTCCATTGTAACCACTTGTGAAGTCGCTCTTCAGTCGACCTCTAAATCCACTCTGTAAGGGCTCACCTCTCGTACGCCGCGCAAAGAGGGCTCGTCGCATGGACAAACTATTCTGTTAAATCGCAGAGCTGGAATGAAGTTGGATTGGGGGGGGGGGTGGTTTTGTCGTGCAGTCATTGGTGACTGGGCTGAGACCATCAGCTCCATTCAACTTGAGAAACCCCGATTAAACTCTGGGCGCCACGGTTGCTAGGAGATGTCAACTACCTTGCCTGTATACAGGAGGTCGCGGGTTCGATCCCGACCCTGATGCCCTGTATATTTTGAGTTTGCGTGTCTCTCTCCCCATGGGTCGCGTGGCTTTTCCTCCGGGTCCTCCGATTTTTCCCTCCACATTCAGAAACATGCATTAAGAGTATTTGGCTGCTATACATTTCCACATGATGAGCCACTATGTTGAGCTATCATTTGTCGCCAGTAGTTTGTAAGTGAGTGGAGGTGGAGCTGCGAGTGGTGAAGCTCATCTACCAGTTATCTAAGTCAGTCAACCCAAGGGCACCTGGCTCTGTGAAGTGACCTCCTGCCAGCGGCGTTCGACACTTCACGTGGCCTTAAAGTGGACAGCCTGGCACAAGGGCCGGGGTGACGTCATCGCTGCTTGGTGGCGAATGGTGGCTGTTGTTGTGTATGTGTGTAGAAGTGTGCTAATTTGTGTGTGTACTAATGTACGTGTACATCCTGCTGTGCGTTACCGTGTGTGCATGTGTACATGGCGAATGGTGGCTGTTGTCGTGTGTGTGTGTAGAAGTGTGCTAATTTGTGTGTGTACTAATGTACGTGTACATCCTGCTGTGCGTTACCGTGTGTGCATGTGTACATGGCGAATGGTGGTGGTTGTTGAGTATGTGTCTAGCAGTGTGCAATTTGTGTGTGTACTAATGTACGTGTACATCCTGCTGTGCGTTATCGTGTGTGCATGTGTACATGGCGAATGGTGGTGGTTGGTGCAGCTCTCTTTCCTCTTTCCACTCTCTCTCTCGCTCCCTGGGGGGCCTTGCACTCTGATCCTGCCGCCTTGCTTTGCCTTCCTCTCCCCCCCCCCACCACTCCCCCTTGCACACCTCCGTATGCAGTCACAAGGAGAGGACGCAGACAAGGAGAAGGTGATGGTTGTGAATGTGACGTCTTGATTCAAGACATGCGCTCGCTCACAAAAGTGCTCGCCTTTGTCCGAGAGCGTGACGTGCGGAGTTTTGTGTGTTTACACTGCGCAGATAATGCAGTGACGTCTTTTTTACACGTGTGGGGGTAAGTGTATTTACACAGATACAGGTGGTGTCGTGTGTGTAAACACACACAGACACGTTGTGTGTGAACGTTCACACACTTTTTTTTATTTCACCAGGTAAGGCCCACTGAGCTATCTGTATAGCTCTTTTTCATCAGCGACTTGGCCACAAATTATAGCTTAAAGAAGTGGCTTATCATTTGGCAATTTATAGCAGCCAAATACTCTTAAACGCTTGATGTTGATTCTAAATGTGGAGGGGGAAAACTGGAGGACCCCGGAGAAAAATCGACACGACCACGGGGAGAACATCCAAATATACAGGCGTCAGGGTGGGAATGGAACCTTGTATACAAGGTGAGGTAGTTGAACATCTCGCCACCTTAGCGCCCCTCTCGTGCCCCACAGATACACGTGGGGTAGTGTGTATAAAGATAGACACGTGGGGTAGTGTGTATAAACATAGACACGTGGGGTAGTGTGTATAAACATAGACACGAGCAGTGTGTTCATACACACAGACACGCGTTGCACAGTGTGTTTACACACGGACACATGCAGGGAAGTGTATTTACACAGAAACACGTGGTGCATTGTCAATTTGCCAATACAGCCGACGTTATGTAGTGTACGTGTGTTTACACTTCGACGTTGACATGCACTGACCTGAAACCCCGGCGGCTGGGGTTTAACTCCTGATTCTTGGCTATTGGCATTTGACATTTAATTGGGCTTCCCCCAAGTAGGCATAGTGGAAAACAATTATTGAACATCAGCACTGGCGAGATGATGATGGTCAGACGTACTGGGTACGGATCCCACCAATCGCTGTACAGCGTGGCCTGCCTGGTGCTCGCGAACAGCGCTTTCCCTAAATTTTACGCATACACTTTTGAGGCTAATATTATGATGCATCATTTATTTTTGGGTCAGATTGTGCGTCGTGCACCATCCAAACGTGCCAGTTGCTGCTTCAGCAGCAGCGGTGTTGCAACCAGCGTCGTCGGGAAGTTGAAATTGCTGGCAACTGCTTTCCAGCACAAGTGTGCCCCTGAATCAGTAATAAGTTGGCACGTTTGTTCAAGTGACGACTTTTATCAGTCGGCCGTGTAAGCTGTGGAGGAGGGTGCACGACACACATTATTTGATGGGACCCCAAAAATGTATTATGAAGCACTTGCCCTGGCATATATATATATATGTCTAAACAGGGGTGTGGAACTTTTGACTTAAAATGTGTAGGTTTTCGGAGCAAATACTACGATCCATATTTGTTTTTGGGTTAGGCTACTGCTGCGCCTAGCCCAATGACAAATATGGATCACGGCACCTCTCTTGTCACTTGTTTAATTTCCTGAACATATTTGGGTGCGTTTGCAGTCGCTCGCGTTCACCCATTAAACTACGGCGTGTGTTCACGTGCACCGGAGTGTTTGTGCGCGCGTCTACGTGCGCGCTCGCTGGCGTAAGCTTACGCCTGTCTGTCCGTCTTATCTGTCTGTCTGTCCGCCACAGGGAAGGGGCAGCGGCAAACGGCGGGGAGGTCAACGGCAGCGAGGCAAGCAGGCATCCCAGACGGCCGTGCAGGTCACCTCGTAGAGGGGTCCTTCCTGGTACCCGCCCACGCCACCCCCCCCCCCCCGCGCCTCCTCTCGTTGTCAAGGCAACAGAGGAGCCCCCCCCCCCCCTCCTTTTCCATGCCTCCGTGGCCTCCATGCCTGCCTGGTCGCGTACAAGCCCACCCGCTTTCTTTCTCGTATCGCGCACACGACGGGCAGAATTGAAGGTGTAAAAACGCCTGTGTTGTTTTTAATTAAACGTTAGGTGTGCGACATTTCAACAATTATCCGATATCACCTGGGGGGGGGGAAAGTATCGAAATAAAATCTCTCGCGTAGACACGAGAGAGAGAGAAAAAAAACACACACGGCCGCTGCTCGCAGTCGCAAACGACGGCGGAATCGGTCGGCGAACAGGTGAAGGTTTTAGCAACGTTGAACTTTATAATTGTTTTAATTGAAAATATATGAAGAGAAAATCAAATAAAGTTCCACTTGGGAGGTGCGTAACAAAAACAACAAACACATTACCGTTACCGGTGATGCCCAACGAGAGGAGTCTTCCTCCGCAGCCCGGAGGAAATCCGTGCGTCAGCTTGCTCGCCCGTCACACCATCAGATGGTCAGGGTTCATCTCGTCACCGAATGCATGCGGCCCCAGCCCCCTCACCCAGACTCCCGTGCCCCGCCAACCCGAACCCAAACGAACCCCTGACCCTCCAATCGCTCATTGCTGTAGGCCTCAGGATGAATAATTAAAATGTTTTAGCTTGCTGCGTGTGGTTTTGTTTTCGTAGTTTTACTTAATAAAGACATTTCCCCTAAAGCCTGCTTCAACGTCATTTTGGATTATAAAAAGTAACAAAAAAAAGGTACACATTTCAATCGTATAAATTGTTGCAATCCACCGCTGCCCGCTATGGATGTCACAAGTCGAAGGTGTCGGCTCGTGTGAGCGAATCGACCGTTGGGTCAGGGAAGAGGCCCTGGGGACGACGATGGCACACAAACCACAGCAAAGGGCCTCTGTTTCGTGCCACACGCGTCGCTTGTTCATCTGCCATATCAATTGTTTTTATTTTATTTTACAAGGAATAGCCCACTGAGCTACATCGCTCTTTTTCAGACGCGACCTGGCCACAAATGACAGCTCAACGAAGTGGCTTATCACGTGGACATTAATAGCAGCGGCCAAATAATCTAAACCCGTGATGTCGATTCTGAATGTGGAAGGAGGGCCTGGAGAAATATCCACGCGGCCACTGGGAGAGAGACACGCAAACTCCAAATAAATAGGGGGTCAGTGTCGGGATCGAATCCACGACCTCCTGCATACCAGGCGAGGGAGATGACATCTCGCCCCTGTGGCGCCGTCGGTGGGCCTTGCTGGACATGTTTCCGGACACGGGGCGAGGTCTGTGTGTGACCAACCTCCACCGTTGGGGGTCTGCACGACAGCTGTGGCACGATACAAACAACGTCGAGCGTTGTCGATGAGCGCGCACTGATTTTATGTTCAGCGAAGGTCTCTGAGGCCACCAAGGACGCCATCGCGTGGCTCGGCGATTTACGCGCGTGCGTTAAACTGGAACGCTCGTCCGATATAATTTGACGAAGATTCGTAGCCAATGGAGATCTGACGATCGGGTTTATCTATATCTGGATACAGCAGTTTATGGGAAGCCGTACACAACTCGGGCAGCAGGATCTGGCCGTTTCCCCTTTTTTGCATTGTGGTTTTGAACATTTTGAAAATTTGAATCGAGGAAATTAGTTCCACTGCCATATTTTCTATTTGACGTCGCCCAGTCCAGTGGCTCTGCCTTGCGCACAGTTTGCAAAATTCATTTTTAATTCCTCTTTTCATGAAACCGTCTTGTTCATTGCCGCAGCTCCCACAATTTTGGGCTAGCGTAGCTGTTTATGGGTGTCTGCATCTGCAAACTACCCCGTAACAAAAGTGGCTTTGGTTTGTTACGATGCTGTTTCGTTGCTGATTAGATCCAGCGAAGTCAAACCCATCCAGGTATTGCCTTGTTCAGTCAACATGCTGCTGGAAAAACTAATTAAATGTTTACCCGTTGGCCTATAGATAAAAATTATTTCCCATCGGCGAGTGTTAGACACCAGGCTTGTTCTGGGTCTGAATTGGGGGGTTGAATTTTATATGCATTGTGTTTAGTTTGTCGCCCTTCCTGCACACCTTTGACTATCACGGTTGGCTACGTATGGTGCGAAAGAAGTTCAATACATCGTAAACATCCATTGCCTTAAGTCTTTACAGAACCAGATTAATTTTACGCGTGGGGTCAGTGGACAAGAAACCTTTCTTTAAACTTTGCTTGCTCCTGCGATTTCATTATTCACAATTTGTGTTTTTTTACATCTCTGTGAGAAGAGAAAAAATGGTGGGTAAATAAATCATCAGCCTGTATGCTTTCCCAAAATTGTTTTTATTTGGGGGGGGGGGGTGGGTTGAAGAAGCCAAATTGATAACAAAAACTACGGTTTCATGGGGGAATGTATTAATTTATTTAAAGTCTGCTCTGGCCATCTCTCGTTTTCATTGCGAGGTGGTCTCCTGAGCCAACGGTTCAAATTCCACATTCCCATGGTGGGGGGTTAGTACAGGCATCTCCTTGCAAAGTGGTCATTTTACGGGGCCTTTTTTATAGATGATGATGATGATGTGAGCTGTCTCCCAATGAAGATTTAACTTTGAACCTTGGCAGCGCTTACCTACCCAGTAAACATGCAAAGCTATGCCAACGTCGTCGGCCCAATGGTACCAAGCACGTGCCAAAGTTGCCCCGACTTTGGCATGTTTACTGGTTATGTACGTTATACATTTGCGTTCACTCAATGATAATGTACGGCCATTTGTCAATCCACTGCCTGCATGAAGGTCTTCCCTACGCCTGTTGATCGTGGCGGTTTAACCATACTTCGCCACACTGGTCAGTGCATGTTACTGAAGGAGTGGGGGGGGGGGGAGTTGGGTGGATGGACTAGGACCATTTCTGATATTTGCTACTGAAGTTATCCGTGGGTGGGAATTGATTTGTTGTTGTAACGTCCTTACCCGCCCCTACTTGACGCTTGTGAAAAAGAGCTTCACAGCCCATCGGTTTCCCCCAGCACAAGTAAATGTTCTGCTCTGATCGGAACTCGGGCGGCCAGGTTTAGAGCGCATGTGCGCTAACCGCGACGTCACCACTCTCACTGCCCCCCCCCCCCATCTCTGACATTCACAGTATCAAATATAATACACGTGGTTTATAGCAGAGTATTACTCATTATCAAGGTCTTTGGGTTAGATCACGTTATTTATAAATGTGTCATAACCCTCCACCACCCGACACGGCCAAACAGTAAAAAATGTGTCACGTTTACAATGGACAAATAGTTCACTACTTTAGCCCACCGGTGTGTTGAAGAGTGAATCAACATCATTTAAAATTTGAGTACGACGTTTCGCTGGTAATTACATCCAGCATCATCGGGCAATTCGCCAGAATGGTAAAGCCCTCACTTGCTCCCGGTTTTAAATAGAGCAGCAGCAGGGTGACGTCATCATTTAACTCATTCAGGTGCAGTGATTTGAGGCGGAGGGGGGTATTGTAATTATATAATCGATTGGTAATCAGTCAATGGTTATGATTAGTAATGAGTTGTAGATTAGTAATTAGTTGTAATGTGTGTTATTGTGATTATATGCTATGTTAGTAATCTGTTAATTAGTATGTGTTTCCCCTATAAGGAATTGTAGTATTATTTAATAATACGCTTCCAAGCCGCACTAAGCCTGTAGCTGTCAGAGCGATTAAAGTTATTTCTATTTCTCTCAATTTCAATGGATTCTCTAATTAGTCTTTGCCAGTAATAATTAGTTTTACACAACACTTCAACGTTATCAAAATAAATTGAGTGTCCTTGTTGACAAGCATGTTCTGCCACTGCCAACAGTTGTGTTTGAGATAATTGAATATTTATTTGGTGTTATTTTAGTCTTAGGCTGATGTTACGTCCCGTCTGTCCAATATAGCATCTGCCACATAAACAGTTAATCCGATATACACCTTTTGTTGATAATTGAGGTAATTCGTCTTTAGTGCAAGATACTAGGTTTTGAATTTTGTGTACTGTACCAAATCTTACTGTAATGTTTTGCTTTTGCAAAACACGGGCTAATTTGTCAGTTACTCCTGAGAGATATGGATTTTTTTTTTTACAATCTGATCGCTTTCAGCATTGTTGGGTTGCGATCGTGATTTGGCATTCAGTGCTCTGTTCATTTGAGTATTATTGTAGCCATTCTGTCGTAATGCTTCTTTAACGTGTTTGATCTCTCTCACTAGACTTTCACCATCTGATACTGTTTTAGCCCGATGTAAAGCGTCTTGATAAGAGAGGATTTCTGAGCTGGATGATGATGCGAATCTGCATTCAGATAGGTATCAGTGTGCGTTTGCTTTCTGTAAACGCTGGTTTAACCAATATCCATAATAGATATTATTGGGTCTTTCGGCAAAGTCACGTAGATAGGTTCTAAGAAAAAAATAACAAAACTACGACGTTTTCAAGAATATGAATCCCTGCAGTCACGAAAGCTTTAAGTTAAGATCCATAATAGATGTTTTTTTTTTGGGTTAGATCGCGTAAATATTTATATTTTTTGTTGCCCGTATTTAAACGGCTATTCGCCGTATGGACCTGAAAACTACATTTCCCTGCACAAGAATACGGAGGTTAACCCGTATGGGTCGACGGGCATGCGTAGGGGTTCAAACCCCGCATAGTTTTTATGAACGATACATTTTGGATAACGGATAAGTTTAATGATGTCACGCGGACCCGCCAATCTCGACCAATCGGAGGGCTTCCTCAGTGGACTCGGCAGACCACGGCCAATCGGCGACCCGCCCTTTTATAAGCTCCTGACTGATGTCAATGTGTTGATGTTGCGTTGCTTATGGAAACAGCTCTCTTGAATACTTCGTGTGTTTTTTTTCATTTAAACAAGATCAATAACAACGGCCCCAAAAAATAAATGTGAAGAAAGACACGTGAGGAAAACAATTGGTAAAACGATGACATTAATTTTCTCCCACCCCGACTTCTCCATCAACCCCTTCAGCCAATCATCTTCTTAGCCTACGGTAAGAAATGCTATGCTCTTATTTATGCACATTTTAATTCCCTATTTATTCACCGCTTATCCACGTTCCTATTAATATTAATGCTTTAAGTGTTCCTATGACGTCTAGTTATTCCGCCAATAACCCCTCGGGTCTCACGCCGCCACTAAAGCGATGTCATGCCACCTGCTGTCAGATCTTGCACACTGCACCAACCTTGCCACAACAAGCAACTGGAGCTTGTAAAGCCTCGAAGCATTTCTCTGCAAATCCACGAGGCTGTGATGATGATTTTACATGAAATCGGCAGCATTTATGGACAGATTGCGGTAAAACTGGGTCGAGGTCAGGTTCAGGCTGGGACTTTTTTCTGTTGCTTTGCTTATGCAATATATTCTTGGTTCTTTCGGTAAAGTCACGTATAAGGGAAATAATAAAATGAAAATAAAAACAATTAAATTCTCACGACGTTTCGATTGCAACACAAGCAATCATCATCAGGTGTGAAAACCACAGCAAGATGATGATCGATGATGATTGCTTGTATTGCAATCGAAACGTGAGAATTTTATTGTTCTTTTATTATTATTTCCCTTCTACGTGGTGACTTTACCGAAATAACCAAGAATATGAATCCCTGCAGTCACGAAAGCTTTAAATCGAAATTGATGCAATATATTTTAATTTATTTATGTTAGTGATTTGCTCGCCTCTCCTACACTTCACACTCCTATCGTTGTTGTCATTGTTAACATTCTCACCCTGTGCCCCCCTGCTGGATATATGTGAAAAAGAGCCCTTCATCAGCTCATCGGATTTCTCCAGGATAAGTCAAGATTCTGATTCTGAACTCTGGGTTAAAGGGTGAAGTGGCCAGTCAGGCATTTGATGTCAAGATGTCGTGGCCAAAGCCGTGACGCTACCATCCATTCTACTCTCCGCAGCTACCGCACGGGAGACGTGAGACCTAAAATTAAACTTTGTTGTTAATTTACCAGGTGAATCTCCTAGAAGCGACATGGCCCCACACGCGATGATAGCTCAACGAAGTGGCCTATCATCACGCGGAAACGTATGGCAGCCAAATAACTATATAAACGCGTGATGTCGATTCTACATGTGGAGGTGAAAAACCGGAGGACCTGGGGAAAAATCCACGCTCTCGGAATGCACCACTGCCCTGCAAGTGGTTCTCCGTACACAACCTTGCCCTCAATCCTTCAAAGTCATTGGCCATCATGTTAGGCACCAGGGTAACGTCTCAACTCATCCGCGCTCCCAACACACATCCATCTCTGGTCACAGCATCAGGTTCACCGATCACTTCAGCTACCTCGGTGTCATACACGATTCAACTTCATCCTTCGACCGCCATAACCAATCGAATCATCAGTTCCTGTAACTTTCACCTGAAGGCTCTCAGACACCTACGTTCTCTCATCTCCACTGAAACTGCCAACGCAGTGCCATGTTGCATAGTTGGGTCTCGCCTCGACTACTGCAACTCCGTCCTAGTCCGGCCCTCCTCTGGCAACCTCAAAAAAACTTCAAAGACTTCAAAACAACCTGGTACGCGTCGTCATTGGCCACACCCAGCCTCGGCTCGACTCGCTTGCCTCTATCCGTGCCCTCCACTGGCTCCCCATTGCCAGCTGGGTAACATCCAAGATTGTCTGCCTCTGCCACCCAGTGCTGGATTAAGCTCGGTCGGGGCCTGTAGCATGTGTTGTTATAAAGGGGCCCTAAATTTTTTTTTTTAAGTTGCATAGTAAAGTAATTGCATTTTTTTAAAATTTGCTATACAGCCAGATAACACGACAAATCGCTAACCTTAAACACCCCGGTCGTTCGTAAAAGTTGAAGGCAGTATAGCACTATAGTAATAGAGCGAGTGCAGAATCACTGAACTGGAATTTATAGCTTGAAAGGGTTTAGCGCGGGGCACTTGAATGTACGGGGCCCGTAGCATTTTGCTACGATGATAATCCGGTTCAGCTGCCACCCCGCCTTTACATCTGGCTGCCCCCCTTACTCTCTCTTCACTCTTGACTCCTCTAGACACCAAGATCCAGGACGGTCACGGCGACGCGCCACTTCTCGATGGCTGCCCCCCGCCCCGCAGTCTGGAACGCCATCCCTCTGCACATTCGCAGCGTCGCCTCCAGCGTCTCCTTCAAGAGACACTTAGAAACTCACCTAGACAACCCGACTTTCGAGTGACTCCTTGAGCTTGGCTCCGCGCCTCTTGAGTTGCGGCCGTTCTGTCCGCAGATTTGCACGCGTTACTACGTGGTAT